ACGCTCATATAGACATCCGCTGACACAGACACACATATGGGCAGGAAACATTTATAAATACTTAAGAGTACGTTGGAAAATACAGGAATCACCTAGCCATTGGGTTAATAAAATAATTCAATGCTTTGCACATAAACAGAGCCTTTCCTGCCACTTCCCTGTTGACTTCACTCTGGTTAAGTTTCCCAGCAAAACGGCTTTTTTTTCAGATTGTTCACAGTTGATGTAATTTATTATATTTGACACCACCAGCTTAAAGGTTGGAACTGTTTTCAATGGAAACTGCAAACCCCAGGCCCATAGTGAACAGTGCAAGTTTCAATGCTTTACTCACAACCAAACCCTCCTCCATATGTCAGGCTATGCTTCGCTCTGCTATCAAGCAATTTTGTTTCAAACATAAAATGGTGTGAGGACTTCAAACCAACAAGTGGTGAGGACTTCTAACCAAGTTGGCTGCAATTTGTAGTCCAAAATGATCCAAAAGCTGAATACTGAATCTTACTGTCAGATCATTTTGTAACTATGAACTTGGGAGTAATATAGTACATTTCCTTCAGGATTGCCACTATTTGTCAAAACTGGACAGGGGTGGGACAGGGCTGTGAAAGGGGTTGAGATAATGGTAGGTTTTCATGTTTGTTTTACTAATGATGAAAATGAATCAAAAGGCTTATTGCCTTCCCGGTCACCCAGAAGTGGGAAAAAGTTACATTTTTATTTTAAAATTACTCTTTGAAGGCAGAATTGTTCCCCTATTCTAAATCACTGAGGAAAATAACTTCCTTAAGTTTATGATTGTACACAGTCATCTTCATACAGCTGACTCCTATATCCAGCTATTTGTTAATCTCAGTCTGCATGAATCTCTGTATCCTGTTTCCAATCAGGTACTTAGCCTTTTTTTTGAAAGAATTAAATTGAAACAGAACCAAATGCTTTTCTTATTAATCTGTTACACATATCTGTAAGTGTACACGTGTGTGCGCGTGCACATGTGTATGTGCATGAGTGAATGCATGCATGTGTGCATGTATGCATTGCAGCACATGTGCGCATGAATTTGTGTATGAGTATGCTTCTGTATGTGTGTGGATGCACGTGCGTGTAAACGTGCGTGTGTGCGTGCACTTGCGCGTGTGAGCAAGCGCGCGTGTGTGTGCGTGCGTGCACGTGTGCTGAGAGACAATTGGCTGGTCATGTCTAGTCTTCCTTGAAGTTTATTCATTTTGTTAACCTCATCTATGCTTCTCAAATCTGGATCATGACCCCATAAATCTTCTTTCTCCAGTGAAAACAAGTTCCGCTCTGTCAGCCGAAGAATTCAACAGTAAATCCCAAAATCAAAGACCAAATTACAATTCCAGAGGTGAAAACGTTCAGCAGTAATTTTCTACAAAATGACATTGCATAAAATTTAATTTTCTGCAATCCATGGGAATAAAGTGACCAGGGCAAACACAGAATTGGAAGTCAAAAGCCTTGTTTTATTTTTAAAAAATACTAAGAGTGTGGATTTGAAAAGAGCTCAAAATATTGAAAAGAGCTAAAAAATACACAATATTGGTTGCAAAATGTCATTTCAGCCAGTGTGATTTACTGCGCTTAATGGCATTTCCAGGCTTACAAAAGAGAAAGACGGTTAAAAGTAATTTTGTCCTTTGCTAGCTATAGGATCTGGGTCTGTTGCCAAACAGCTGTGGGTCTGACAGCTATGAAGCATCCATCTACTCCCAATCGAAGAGGATCCTCCAGCATAAAAATGTCCTCAGTCTATGCCTAAAACCAACAATATCAAATCAAAAGCACACTCAAGAGATGAATATTCAGTGATGCAAACACCTTCCATCACCTGGCTGTACATACCAGGCTTATATGGTATGGTATACCAGGCCCGCACCAAACTCCGCTCCCCGATCACCCCAGTCCTTGCCAGACTGCACTGGCTGCCTGTCCCAGAGAGGATCGATTTCAAGATCCTCACCCTTGTTTTCAAATCCCTCCACTCCTCTGCACCCCACTATCTCTCTGACCTCCTCTCTCCTCAAAACAGTACCCGTTGCCTTCGTTCCTCCGGGTCTGGCCTCCTCCTCGTCCCCCGAGTCCTCCGCTCCACCCTCGGCGGCCGTGCCTTCAGCCACTATACCCCGAGGCTCTGGAATTCCCTTCCTCAATCCCTTCACCTCGCTCCCTCTCTTCCTATTTTCAGGTCCCTGCTGAAGACCTTTCTCTTCGACCGGGCCTTTGGTCACTTTCCTCCCCATCCCCCTGGCTCGGCTCCGGGATCCGTTACTGTGAAGCGCTTTGAGACGCCATCCAGCATGGAGGGCGCTCTATAAATCCAAGTTGTTATATATCTACTCCAAGATAATCTTCGAGGCCAAAGACAACCCTAGGCTACTCTTCACCACCAACCGGCTCCTCCAACCACACTCTCACGCCTCGCTTATCCTCACCTCCAATGCCAACTGTGAGGCGATGCTGGATTTCCGCGAATCCAAAGTCGAGGGGATCCGCTCAGCTACTTCTGTCCTTTCAACTACAACCCCCTTCCCATCTCACCCTTCCACCCTGGTGCCTCCCCATCCCTCCCTCCACACCTTTGAACTTGTCTCCCATTCTTTCTCGCCACCACTATAACCTGCATGAAACCGACCACCTGCTCTCTCTACCCCATCCTTACCCCTCTCCATGCCTCCCAGCCCCACCTCCTTGCCCCTCTACTCACAGATGATAAACCTCTCCCTGTCCACTGGTACCGTTCCCACTCCTATCCTTAAAAAAACTCTCCCTGGACCCATCTCTGCTCTCAAACTACTGCCCCATCTCCAATCTCCCTTTCCTCTCCAAGGTCCTGGAATGAGTTGTTGCTTCCCAGCTTTGCTCTTTCCTCTCCTGCCACTCCCTTCATAAACCCCTCCAATCGGGATTCCGTGCTGTCAACAGTACTGAAACAGCTCTGGTCAAAGTGACAAATGACATTCTGTCCGTCTGTTCCAGGGCTCCCTCTGCCTCCTCGTTCTCCTTGCTGCCTTCGACACCGTTGACCATTCTATCCTCATCCACTGCCTCTCCTCTCACCTCAATCTTTATGGTGCTGTTCTTGAATGGTTTAGATTGTACCTCTCACACCTCCTCACTTCTTCTCCACAAATGGTTTCTCCTCTAGCCCCCGCACCATCTCAGGCGGTGTTCCTCAGGGCTCTGTCCTTGGTCCCCTCCTTTTCAATGTCTATCTGCTCCTTCTTGGTGACATCATCTGCAGACATGGGGACACTTCCACATGTATGCAGATGACACCCAACTGTATCTCTCTGCCTCCACCCTTGGCTCCAGGACCACCGCTGTCCTGACAGAATGTCTGTCAGACATCGAGTCCTGGATGAGAGTTAACATTCGACAGTTGAGTGTCAAGAAGACAGAGGCTCTCCTGATTGGCTCCCGTTAGCGCCTCCACACCTCAGGTGCTGATAGCATCACCATCCATGGATGCACACTCCATTTTACTAAGCCAATCCAGAACCTTGGCATCTTGTTTGACTCCTAACTATGCTTTCTGCCCCACATCTGTGCCTTCCCCCACCTACTCAACCTGGCTGTATATACCTGGCTGTATATACCTGGCACCTGATCGTTTTTTGTTGTTTAAACATGGCACAGAAGCGAGCTAGGAACCCTGACAAAAATGATGCAGCATATGGGCGACGATCAGCAGTCATGTAACAAGCAGCATTTGATAGCACAGCTTGCGGTACTCCACAAAAGCCAGCAAGCTCATGTCAGGGAAGCTCCTGCAGTATAAAGATCTTCCAGAGTATTTATGGCAAAACCCATTACGTGCCTTGCATCAGCTGAATGGACTTAACCCAAAGCATACGGGACTTTTGAATGAATGAGTTCCATCATCTAATGCACAGATACAGAAATGGATCTAATGACTGCTGCTTTTCTATGCTTTTTGTTACTTTGAGAAGCAGACTTGCATCTCATCAACTCGTGCTGCACATCTCTTAATTATTGCAGTTTATGTCCAACATAATGTGAAGACAAGTAAAACAGCGTTTTGTTGAAATATTATTCTTAAAAAACATACATTGGATTTGGTTCTTTTTTGTGAGCACGTTCAACCCCTCCACCCCACCCCCCACCCCCTTTAAGGGCACACATTCCTTTATTTAATCCGCAGTATGCTCCTCTCTTTGAACCTTTCTGAATCAGGCAGCCCCTGTGTGTGAGACAGCAGGAGAAGTGGTTATACTCCACGTAAACCCCACCTCTCCTAATCCCCTTTCCTATTCCATTCTCCCTCATGTATGCATCAAGCTTCCTCACAGGAAAAAAATCTAATTCGCCCCACTTCACAACAGGCCAAAGTGAAGAGGTAGGTAACATGCAACATTGAACACCTTCAATGGGAGCCAATAAAAACACTGCTGCTCTAAAGGCTTGTAGTTTTAGTTGGTTAGACTCCAGTAGCACTCCAATGCACTCTCTAAGGTCTTGCAAATCTGTGTCTGATCTCTGCGGGATTGGGTATCAGAGTGTACCTCTCCGACGAGAAGGACTAATTCCAATCCAGACACAAGGAAAACACACATGTGTGCAATTTGGCTTGGAGAATTTGAAGCATGATAGGTTTCTGTGTGTGTCAGATGTGCTGATAAAAGAAATCAAATGGTTCTTATCACATGAGAATAATATGGTACACTTACTATTTCCATAATTAATGTTGAATAAATAAAATTACACATGAACATCATGCTGTCCTGTTTGTAGCCTTCCCTCTCAGTGTTTCAAAGAAAACGGCGATATACAAGTGCGTCCAAAGTATGTGCAAATAATGCATTTATTTATCCATGTTTCATGGTAAGTCATATTGCTGGACCGCAAATAATGAGTCTTTGCTCAGATGATAATGACAAGTTTCGTAATGGGCTCAAATGCTTTGTTCTGCTTTATTGCACAGAACTCACTTTTCATGCAAAGTGAAGCTGTCTTACCTGTTGGTGGCTTTAGCATAGGCGGTGGGATTAATGGTACAATAATGGGCATGCTGCCGTGATCCTTTGACCCTGTTGATGTGTCTGCAAGTCCATTTCCTGTGGTCATTCCTGAAAAGTTGGAATTAAGGTTGGCTGATGAAGTAATAACACTGTCTTCAGATAATCTCGGTCTTGGTAAGGAATTTTCTACAAATAGAAAAAAAAACAAAGATTATTACACTAAGGACTTATCAATGTTGCTGCAAACTGCTGCTGAGAATATTCACCAGTCATTAACCATAAATAATTGAAGAGATGTTGAGAGAGATAGGTTTTATTGTTACCAAGCATGTTAATGGTTTGCACAGTGAGATAAATCCAACCTTGCTGGTGATTCAATGCTTATAATTCCAAGAAATTCTGAGTGAAGGGAGAGATTGAGATGTCTCTACCACAAAAGTCCTGTAGCTCAGTGGTTAGAGCACTCGCTTTGCAAGCGAGAGACCTGAGTTCAATTCCAGGCAGGGCGAAACCTTGGGCAAGTTTCCTTACTCCACGCGCCTAATAATAATCCCTCCAAAAAAAAAAAACAATAATAAATTGGTCATTTTCAATCTACGACTGTTTGTGGGACATTGCTGTGCGCAATTGGCTGCCGCGTTCGCCCACAAATATACAGTCAATTCACTTTACAGTGTGTTCTGTGAAGCGCTTTGGGACGTCCTCCCGACGTGAAAAGCGCTATATCAAATGCAAGGATTATTATTATTATTATTATTAAAAGAGGTTTGACTGAAGAAGACTTTGGCCCATTTAATAATACACACATTTGATGTATTGCCTATAACATCAAAACATCTCAAAGCATTTCAGAAAGTTATCCAAAAGTGTAAGGACAGTGTATTTGTAGGCAAATGTGGCTGCCAATTTCTACAATTTAATCTCACAAATCAGCCATAAAGGGAATGACCAATTTATCTGAAGGATAGTTTAGTGAAATTCTTCTCGTCAAATTACGTTATGGGATCTTTAATATCCCCTGAATCTTGGGTCTTCGGTTTAACGTCTCATCCCGATAATGGAACCTCAAACAATGCAAATTTCTCTAAACAATGAACTGGTTAGTTTAAACTATGAGGACAAAATCAGTTGCTCTCATTCTTCCAGATTACCAAATATCTTCCTTGACAGCATCAAAGAGGTTCTTAAATGAGTCGAGGAATCAGATCACTGTTACAATTCCTAGTTGTTCATTACTTTTGGCATGAGGAAATGCATTCTGACATCTGCCCTAAGTTTCTTTCACAATAAAAATGAGAATAGATACAAAATGAGCAAAAACATTCCAGTCCACAAATTCATTTCTGCTGTTACAGATTATGTGGCTGTGCGACACAACCAAGGAATTATACCACAGAACAAACATTCAATTTCTGTTAAATTGTGAGCTCTGTAAGTTTGTATTTTACAATAAGTGCAGCAAAAATGCTGAAAACCCTTACTGATCTGAACACAGTTAGTGTTAGCAACGTACAATGTAAGCAAAGTTTCCCAACTGCTGTGACACGCTCACTCTAGCTTGAAGTTAGAAAATTTTCCAATAAATACACCAACTCTCTCATTTAAAAGTGCCAGAATTAATGGAATCTAAGGGTGCATGAATACATGTACATTCAACAATAAATATGCATGTAAATCTCTTTGCAAAGAATATTTAATCACGGCAAAATCTTTCTTAGTGACCATTAGCTGAAATGTAATGAAAGAATTCCGATTATCTACTGATAAAAGGGTTTAAAATCCTAACTTTGTCATCTTTAATATAATAATACTTGCATTTGATGTAGCATTTTATAATATCAAAATGTTTCAAAGCGTTTCATAGAATTTAATGTAAAGTGTACTGTTGAGGGCAAACGTGGTAACCAATTTGCACACAGCAATGTCCCACAAACAGCTATGAAGTGAATAATTAATTTTATTTGAGGAATTGTTGGCTAGGAAATTAGGAGAAACTCCCTTCTCTTTTTGAATAGTGCCTTGGGTTGTTTACGCCCACCTAAACAGGCAGACAGAAGCTCAGTTCAACGTCTCATCTGAACGATGGCATCTCTGACAATGCAATCCACCCACCCCCACTGCACTGGAGCATCAGCCTAGACTATAAGGTCAAACTCCCAACACAAGATTTGAATCAACTTTATCACATAAGGTGAGAGTGCTACTCAGTGAGTCAAGCTGAGGATTGAAGGGTAACACTGAAAACCCGAGTGACTTATCAAGTTTAACATATTTCTGTAGTTGTTTTCCTGCTGTAACTTTTTGTAACTTTACTTTTACAACTTTATCATTGACCTAGAGCAGGAGTTGGGTTCCTACTTACTCGTTATCAGTTTATCAAATGTACTTTGTCTGTGTTCGGCCACCCGCTGTGTGAATGATTAATTTGGCTGTTAAGACAGTTACCCAAGGATGGCAGAAACAAACAGTTTGAGTCTTACAAGAGTTACCCCCTGGCCCAAGGGACCTGTTTTGGTGTTTGAGTCCCTAATCTCTCCTGTGTAACAATAAGTCTGAATAGTAAAGTAGGCAGACGATTTACTGACGTTAAGCCTGACACTCTGGATGACATACCCAACACCAATTGCACCTGTGAAAACAGGATCGGGAGATCACAGGCCCAGTGTTCAGCAGGCATCAGGTGGAGCAAAGACAGTGCCAGATTTAACCTCAAAACACACTGCTGCATTTCTTTTTGTAACAAGAAGTCGACTGTATCAAGCCGGTCTTAGGTTTCTTCCTTATCTTGGATTGGGTGAACGTAATGTACAAATACACCATCTATTCCCTTAAGAAAATAAACCAAACCTTCAGTTCTGAGTCACAAAACAGAAGCTCATTGAAAACCCATTCGTCGCTCAGGAGCGCTGTCATCTCCAATAACAGGGATGGCAAAGATATCAGCACTCAAGTGGAACCAGCTGCCGGTGGCTCATTCACAGCAACAATTCAAGCCACAAGGTGACAAGCACAGGCTCCTGATTTCTGTGACACCAGCCCACCACTGCTTATGTCTATTATTTGGGCAAGGTAAATCTGTTTTGTCCCATTACTAAGTGGGCAACTGCCTGATCACAATCCGAAGTCCAGAGGCACGTGTCAGCCTGGGTAACAACAGAGCATTTGCTTACTCTTAGGAGATGTAGGAAGAATGTTCATTAGCCTGCAATATTTCCTAAGTGAAGATACCCAAAAATTATACACAAGGATGATGAAAACAAGACTATTTATTTACTATTCTGTAAAATAGCACAGCATGGTAGTTCCAGTGCACTCTAAACGTTAAATCATCTTGTCATGAATACAACACATTGGGGCACTCTTATTCGGCTCAAAATTCAACCTGGTTGCAGCCTGTGAAGCTATTTGGAGATAAATCCCACCTGGGTCTAGATTTAATCTTTTTATGTATCATTTAAGAGCACCCAGAATTTGGCAATGTTGAACTTCAGTCTTGAAGTTGGTTTTCTATAGTTCTTTAGAATTTACAGGAAACCTGGCTTGAAAACTAAGGTCTGTGTTTAAAAAGATCGTCAAATTCTGGACATGCTGAAGTGCTACATAAATAAAGTAAATCTGGACCCAGGTGGGAATTATCCCCAGTTCTACCTTAAAAGATAGGATCACACTGAATTGTGGAAAACACTTAAATTAGTCTCAATTTGGAATCCGGTTTGTTATAAGAACTGCAGACGGCCAAATTAAAGATGAATTTCAAAATTGTTTATAATTCTGCACATTCTTAAATGTTAAAACAAATTAATCTGATGGTCTAAGAAATTTTGGACCCATATTCAGGGAACATTAGGGCAATGATTTGGGAATAAGCCAAGACACAGTACATGCTCAGAGTTCCTCATCAAGTGCTGGTTTCACCAATTTTCCTTCTCCGAGGCCCCTTCTGCCTGTTCAGGTGGACGTTAAAGATCCTATGGTACCATTCAAAAGGCGAAGGGAGTTTCTCAAAGTATTCTGGTCAACAATCCCCTAACTAAAATTGGTCTTTCACTCCATTGTTGCTTGTGTGACATATGTAAATTGGCTGCCACGTTCGCTCACAAAAAACAAAAATTCTGTAGCATAGTGGTTAGCGGATTACTTTCCAGGGATAAAAGTCCCTCCAAAACAAAAAATTGGGTCACTCAATCCATGACTATTTGAGGGACACTGCTGTGCACAGTTGATTGCCGTGTTTATAATATATTCTGCGAAGTGCTTTCAATGACGTGATATGGCGCTTTATCAAATGCAAGGATTATTATTACTATTATTACCTGTGATATACTTTGGGATGTCCTCCTGATGTGAAAAGGCTATACCGAATGTAAGGATTATTATTATTTATATTATTACTTTCCTGTAAAATGTAAGAATCCCTGTGGAAATAGGACAGTAAGCTATTCCTCCCGGGCTCACAGCTGGTGTATCTGGCAGTGCTCCCTGTGTCCATTAGATAACTAATGAACCAGAAACTCACCTCCCAACCCAATGAATGTGTATTTCCGTCACCCACCAGCACAACAATGGGTAAAATGATAATAACAGACACTGCAGAAAATAAGCGGGGTACACTGCATGCCAGTCAAATCCGACACATGCTGAAGATCCTGGTCACGGGTTGAATGTTTTGCACATTCTGCACAATGAGTAGAGAAGCGCAGCATCTTAAACGTAAATGTAATGATCTGCAATACTGAAGCTGTATTTGCTGCACAACACAGTAGGGCAAGTGGGGAGCGATACCACCTCAAGAGGCAAGCTCTCTTTAAACTTCTGAAAGCAGCAGCGATGTGACAGGCCTCCTCCTGCTCCCTTCTCCTGGCCCTGCGTGCTCATTCCCCAGGCTAAACGTGGTGTGAGCACTGGGCCTACCATTCCAGGCCGGCGATGGTCAGTGCAAACCATTAACAATCTCAGATAAAGAAAAGAAACTTACATCTTTTACCGCATGTACATTACATAAAAATCTCTCGATAATACAACACAATTTACAGTTGTATAGTGCCTTTCACGTCGGAAGGACATCTCAAAGGTCTCAACGGCTCAAGGAACTGTACAAGTAATTATTGTCATCAACGGTTGAGGAGAGCAGGCCCAGGCGCAATTTTGTGTGGAACTTGTAGGGGATCCTATGTGCTCTCTGTCCACAGACTCCAACTCAAAGTCAATGAGGGATGCAATTCTATCAGATTTTTTTTTTAAAAAACTGAAAAGGAAATTTAGCCCCAATGTCTTGCTTAGTAAACATGGTGTGAAACAGACACAGCACAGGAAGCTCCAGGATTTGATCCCTGGATGATTTTGTTGATCGTTATCCAGTGACCATTGCAAGAAAGTTAGCAACTTGATTGAGCGAGTAAGGCAATTAATTAATTCAAAGAGCTCTGAGACGCCGTCCGGCGTGGAGGGCGCTATATAAATCCAAGTTGTTGTTGTTAATACTTTAGAATGTAATAATTAGCATTTATACATCACCACTTGTGGATAATAAACATAAAGCACTTAACAGGTTGTAATTCATTAGAAACTAAAATGATTAATGTTATTAGTAGCTTGATGTTGTGATGGGAATATGGTAGAGTCGGTGTTTTGGAAGGATGAAATCAAATTCTTTATCCAACCTCTCTTGTGATCTCCAGAGTATCCAAACCAAATTGAGAATTCCTTGTAAGCCACCTATACATGGTAATTCCAGACATGGGAATTTCCACGTGTAGATAGAATGCATGGAACTCTCAGTCGGCTTGGATACTCTATTCATGGCGATGGGTTTCCGTGTGTCAGATACTCGTTTGACAAAAACTGTGACTCCAGTGATCAGGTGAACCCCGCCATCCTTAAAAAAGAACTTTCTCTTGTGATTTTTGCAAGTTTCTCTGTTTATTTGAGCATCACAACATTTGAAAATAATGTCAAATAAAACTTCAGGGAAGAGAAACTTCAAAATAGAGTCCGCAGACTGTTGCTCACCTGCCATGAGTTACTCTAGTCACCGCACAAAACTCTGTTATATTGAGATTCAATTGCACAGGGTGCGATTTGTTTTGTTTTGACTCCAGCAAATAAAGCCTCTTTCATTCAAGCCATCAGCCCTTTGAAAAACAAACAACCAGACAACTTTTCAACCACAGATTCTTTATGGAATGGCTACAAACTGCGTAAAGAAAGCAGGATTGCCAGCATCACTTTGAAGTTTTGACAAGGAACGGTCTATGTTACCAATCCAAACAAGTTCCCGGTATGCTAATGGCACTTGTGACAGGATGGAATGCATTGTGTTAGTCTCTATTTTGTGGGGTCACTGTAAGAAAACACAATGCACTTTTTTTCTCGTACCACTGAAGGTAAGAATTTAGGGCTTGTTCTCTGCCTGAACCTCGGTCCTGTAGGTGGAGCTGTAAAATAGTTATTCAAAACAGCACGGTCTGGAAGCACTAAAAACAAACCTGATTAGCATGTCAAGTGTGCATTGAGTTCTGTTCATTACCACTCACTACTCGAGGCTTATTTTGGTGTGTGAGGGAGGGAATCAGAGAATCAAATCTCCCCTTCCAGTGATTTGAGGCACAGACAAACAATCGAGGGAGTGCGGAAATCAGATAGATTTCTATCCTGTAAGTTGCTGAGGGCCGGATGCGTGTGAACAGGAGCAGAAATAAAAATAGTAATCCTTGCATTTCATATTCTGCCTTATCATGTCAGGAGCATGTCTACAAGCACTTCATGAGATTTTCCTGTTATGTGTAGTGAACTGAGCCAATAGAAAAATGCGGCCATACCTTTTCCGCGGAATCCGCTACAAATGTAGTTTCTGGCCCGCAGGCCTCCCAGCTGTTTACCTGACGTCACTGTGGGAGGGGGAGCTCCGGATGTGCATGCGTGGTGTAACACAAGCGGCAAATGGACTTCACTCTGAGGCGCTGCTGTTGTGATTGTCTGCGTGTGAGTGTCTGTGTCTCTCTATGCATTTGTGAGTGTCTGTCTGTGTGTGTCTGTGTGCATGTCTCTCTCTCTCTCTGTTTGCGAGTGTCTGCGTGAGTATGTCTGTGTCTCCCTCTCCTCTGTGTGTTTGTGGGTGTCTCTATGAAAGTGTGCATCACTCTCTGAGAATGTGTGTCTCTCTCTGTGTTTCTGAGTGTGTGTTTCTCTGTCTGTGAGTGTGTGTATGTCAATCACTGTGTGGCTCAATGGGTTATTTTCATGAATCCTTCAACTCAACACCTTGCTAATAAAATTACAATTGTTCACCAAATCCAATTTTTTTTCCACAGAGACAGGATGAGCCGACGGGCTGCTTAAACGCTGCACATTCCGAACATGGACCTTCTTCCAGCTGCATATTTACATTGAGGCAGTTCCCTCCCAAACAGTAAATGTCACACTACAAACAGAGCTCGACTTACGCCTGCTGTGAGCAATTGCAGCTGTGGATACGCAAGATCCAACAACATCATTCCCTGGTGCTAAGATCAGATCCTACCAATGCCCATCAATGTCAACTTCTAGATGTTGGTAGTTAAAACAAAGCCCAAACAAATCGGGCCCTGACGTTGCAAAGACGGTTTGGATGTGTCATAATTGGGGTTACATTTAATTCACAGTTAAAATGCTCTGCACATGGTCCCATTAAAAGCTGTCTCCCAGATATTGGCACAGGATTTGGTTTGAGCTCGTTTTCCAAGTTACCTGATGGAACAATCCAGGAAGAACTTTATGATAGGTGTTTGAAAGTAATGTTGAAAGTACAGATATTGTAAGCTACTCACTAACTTTGCTAGTGATGGATCAATATTAATTTTAAACGTGATCACGTTGCTGGCACCCGGCACCAGAAAACATCCATCGCCAGGTAACCTGCACCTTCTGCAAGTACCCCTTTAAGCCTCTATTCTTCATAGCCCTGTCTATTTCCCTCTTAAAACCCACACTGGACTCTGGCTCTATCCCCTTGCTCGGCAGGGCATTCAACATCCCAACAACTCTCAGAATGAAATGTTTTTATCTAAGATCTCTTTTCACTCTTCTTGTGACTCTTATAACTATGGCTCTTCATCAATCACTCGCCTACAGATGGAAATAGCTTCTCCCCATTTACCCTGCCAATCCCTGGAAATTGATCAGCTGAGGTCAAATATGGAACCTCTGTTATCACCTAACTGATATGAGATCAGCTAATTCAACACTCACTCAGGGAAACAGCATGGCTCATTTACACCATACGCCGTGAATTTTACCAACAGAGCCATTGTGTATAAACCTAGCTAAAATGTAAAATACAGGTGACAACTACTCTCATTGCAATATAGGATCTGGTGCAGTGTAAATTTTCAGATAAGCAGCTGGGCCTATTGAATCAGCATTTTCTAAATCAGCTGTTGCTGGATTTCAGCCTGCTGGAAACTCCCCCAAAACAATGATAAGGTCCTTTTCAAACTAAAGCCGTTTAAATGCGAAGACAAATAACCCTGTAAAGCTTTGCAAAACCATTAAGTCAGATGTATATTATAACAGAGTGTCTGTAAATCAATTGCACATGGGTTTTTAACAAGTGACAATAGTAGCAATATAATAAAAAACAGGCAGTGAGCAGATGACACTATACAGTACCACCTTCCTCAGTCATAACCAGCCTGAAACTGCTGCAAATCAGCAGGGAACACAAATCAAGCAGTGGGTAACCAGTTAAACTCAGTTAATTTCAGCAAACCCTGCACAAACAACCACCAATTCTCAACCGGAACAGCAAAACTTCAGTTACTTTAGAATCAAATGTTCACTTTATTCAACATCCTAAAAGTTGGTCAAGAATCGCCGATTTTACAATGAGGCATTTTTCTGACAGACTGACTGGCAACCGTCGCTGTCCCTTAGATTATATTGGATTACACACAAAATTCTAAACACTTAAAACAATAAAAATCAATCATTCTCCAGGGGACCACAAATCCACCTAGTCTTAGCCTGCAAAATCGTTTGTCCTAAAATATAAGATGAATTGTGTAAAATATCTCAAATGTGGTCTTCGTTTGGAGGCTGGTTTCCTATAGTTATTAAGAAGAAACCAGCTTCCAAGTGAATGGTGAATTTACGATATTTTCCACAATTCTGAGGGAATTCAAATTTTAAGACAAGATAGTTTTATAGGATAAGTCAAGATGAAGACAAGGTGAAATTTTAGGCTGCAGGTTTGATGGACAAATTTCAGTTATTATTGTTTTGTTAAATGTTTGTGGTCATATAATCAGCATTCACCTATTCTCCAGAAAGCCATAAAATAGGGGAACAAATTTAATTTAAAATGCATAACATTTGCAGTAGGGCTCTGGGGAAATCAAAGTGCTGGTCACCCTAGCCTGTTGCTAAATAGTCATGTAAGTCAACCAACAACACATGACATGACACAACATTGGAACATACAAGACAAGACACAGGGATTTGTTACCTTTCAACACTGAAACGTGCTGGCGTCCCTCACCATCCAAAGCGTAGTTCTTAATTTCAATGTCTTCCCCATCTTTTAATTCCACTTTATCATAGCCATACCAGCCAAGGAGTTCATTCATGGTGTTTTCTGCGAAACTCTGACAGAAAGGAATTAAACATTGGTGTAAGCAATCAATAATCATTTGGGAAGATCAGCTGGATGTATTAACAATGTTTCCCTTGCAGCACGCACTTGTAAACCTGCCCCTCCCCATATAGTCTGATCCTCAACGTAAAGCTGTGAAGGGCGCTATATAAATGCAAGTTGTTGTAGTGTGCATTCAACCATGATTCCAGATAAGGTATTCTCCATCCTAACAACTTTCTGTGTATAAAAAATTCTCATAATCTCTCTCTTTGCTGTTTTGGTAATTAAATATTTGCCCTCCAGTTACTCCCTCCTTCCCAGTACCACTCATTTCCTCCCATCACCACTCACTCACTAGTTCTCTCCTACACCTCTCTCCATCCCTCCCAGCAATCTGAAATTTTGGCCACCAACACAGCAAACATCTGCTTCAATCAACGGTTAAATACATATTCCATTTTATGAAAGCCATGTCCTGAGGCCTTTACACTGACATATCCTGAAGGAATAGAATTTTGGCATCAAGAATGTCTCAGCATACTTTGTATTGCGTAATAATATAAAAATATCTTTCAAAAAAATGATCACTTAATTTTCCATTTAATTCTTGACATTTCAGAAAATAGACTTGGTTATAGTCTACACAGAGCAAAGTAACATATCAAATAATATATCTTAAGGGCTTGTAATCCTAATATGAGAAGACACCTTTCGACATTTGTTAAATTTCACGGTACAAATCAATGCAATGTACATTACAGTATTTTGCTGCAGTGAAAGTCATTTTCATCATTCGTCTACTGCCCTTTGCTATGGTGGGTGAATTGTTCTCCCAAATGTAACACTAAAGAGGGGTCAGAAGATAAATGAATATAGCACCATCTCAAGTTTACTTTACTCAAAACAACTGTTCCCACAATAGTCCATCTACCGCCTGTCAAAGCTCTAAACTGGGGACCCTCCCCAGTTACCTGGTGGGTAAAGACCCTGTCTGTGCAGCAGTAGATTATACAGGTCTGAAAGTTTCTGTGCTGAGTCAGCTGTTCTCAGCCAAGACAGCAGTTGAGGCTGTTACAATTGCTTTAGCAACACTAATAATAATAATCCTTGCATTTGATATAGCGCTTTTCACGTCGGGAGGACGTCCCAAAGCGCTTCACAGAACACACTATTTGTGGGCGAACGCGGCAGCCAATTGCGCACAGCAATGTCCCACAAACAGTCGTAGATTGAAAATGACCAATTTATTATTGTTTTTGTTGGGATTATTATTAGGGGTGTGGAGTAAGGAAACTTGCCCAAGGTTTCGCCCTGACCTGCCTGGAATTGAACTCAGGTCTCTCACTTGCAAAGCGAGTGCTCTAACCACTGCGCTGTAGGACTCCACAAATAAATGGAAATAAATTGAGAAGTGTTGGGCTTACAGAGGCCCAATTGCAATACCAGCTTTATAAATAATAATAAATAATAATAATCCTGGTGTTTGATATGACATCCTTTCACATCTGCAGCATATGTCAAAGTGCTTCAGAAGATTTACTATAAAGTGTAGTGACTTTGCATTTTGTAGGTGAACGCAGCAGACAAGCTGATACATGTATATTCAATATTGCATCCTGTTTTTGTAGGGATGCATTTTGCACACTGTTCCACATTTATTTGTAAATATGTATATTTGTTTTCATGTTTGTTATAAAATTGAAAAAAATCTTAATAAAAAAATCCAAATAGCACAGATCAATGAAATAGGAAATAAATTCACTGGGTCACATCAAAAGCCTCCACACCTCAGGCGCTGACAGCATCACCATCCATGGATGCACACTCCACCTTACTAAGCCAGTCCAGAACCTTGGCGGCTTCTTTGACTCTCAACTATCCTTTCTACCCCACATCTGCGCCATGACCCGCTCTGCCTTCCTCCACCTCCGCAACATCACCCGGCTCCGTCACTGTCTCACACCTCCAGTCGCCGAAACCCTCATACACGCATTCATAACATTGAGGCTTGACTATGCAAACTCCTTGCTTGTCGGCCTCCCCAACTCTTCCCTCCATAGGCTGCAGATCATCCAGAATGCTGCAGTCCATGTCCTCCCCCGCACCAGGCTCTGTGACCCTATCACCCCCATCCTCGCCCGACTCCACTGGCTTCCCATCAAGATCCTGGTCCTTACCTTCAAAGCCCTCCATGGCCTTGCTCCCCCCTACCTCTGCGACCTCCTAACTCCCTACCATCCTGCTCGCTCCCACCGCTCAGCGGCCTCTAGCCATTGGCGGGCGGGCCTTCTGCCACTCTGCCCCTACCCTCTGGAATTCCATCCCGCAGTCCCTCCACCTCGCCCCCTCCCCTGCCACCTTCAAGACCTATCTCAAGACCCTCCTCTTTGACCCTGTTTTCGATCATCTTGCTTCCCCCCCAACCCCCAGCTCAGGTCCAAAACACTGACCGTCCAGCACCTTGGGACATCCTCCCGATGTGAAAGGCGCTATATAAATGTAATTTTGTTGTTGTTGTTGTTCATTTAAGTCTAAAGGCGAAATGAGGTTGGAGTCTGATGCCAGGGGTGGATTATTTAGCACATTGCTCAGATCCAAACTTCTTGTATTTATTCATTACTGACCCCAGTGTGGGATAGAATCAAAACGTAGTACAGTCTTAAGTGTTTAAAATACTTGCAATTGAGAAGAGGCAAAAAATGTAAGTAGCAGGAACTAAGAGTCAGGGTGCTGTTTAGGGTTATTTTCTGAAGACTGCAATTGCTGATCACTTGGCTCATGTCAGCAGCACAAGTTTAGAAAAACAAATAAACGACTGGGAATAAATAAACTTTTAGTCGTCTAACTGCACAAGTGGGATAAGACCCATTAGGATACACAGAACATCAATGGGTTATTTGAAGTGGATTATTTCTGAAACCAGCTCTCGTCTTGTTCTTCAACTCATGAGTGCACACAATGTACAAGTAACCAATTCTCCTCCATCTTTTCATACCAGATACAATGGAAGCCTTTCAACAATATCCATTCCTTATGGATTCCAGTTATAACAATCAGGAAAAAGAATGACAATATTGACTGCTAGTTATGATGCTCTTCAATGCATCTCCTCCCAGTCTGCCAGTAGCCCCTTCCAGCCTCCCCCAAGAGTGATCAAAGAGGAAATCACAGTACAACTCTCTCACAGAGCCTGCAAGAGTCGTCACTTATATGCTCTGCCTGACGTGTAGAGGACAAGATGCAGAAGAGGATTTAATAATGATATTTGCCTTTGTGTCTTATATCAAAATGTTTTAAAACGTTTCAAACAATAAGTTACTTTAAAGTGTAGTGAATAAGTCTACACTGTTCCCCAAACAGATCATGACAGCCAGCTAATGGCTCTTCTTGGTTGAATCTGGATGAGGGAGGAATATTTGCTAGGACATCAGGAGAACTCTCTGCTCCACTTTATAAGTAGTCCCAAAATCACTTTAACGTCCACCAAGACAAATCCTAGCTTTAAAGTCACATCAAAAGCTGCATAACCTCCACTGCCATGAGCATTCCCTCAATGCTGTGCTGGCATTTTAGCCCAGTTTATGAGCTCAGGTTTTAGAGTGGGCTTCAAAACCAACTTCTGACCCAATAGTGTGGGCATTTCAACAAAGCCAATTGACACTCAACTGACGTGGTAGTTATAACAATAATAATCCTTTAATTTGATATAGTGCCTTATCACGTCTTCGATACATGTCAAAGCGCTTCACAGAATATACTGGGTGAAATTCGGCAGCCAATTGTGTACAGCAGTATCCCACAAACAGTCGTGGATTGAGCGACTAATCTATTTTTTTTTTAAAAGGATTATTACCCCCGGAAAAGAGATCCACCAATCAACTAACAACCGGGTTCCTACTTACCTCTAGGTAAACAGAAGCTTGTGGAGTAAGGAAACTTGCCCAACACTTCGCCCTGCCGGGAATCATACCCAGGCTAGTTTACAGAACTATGAACTATGAGCCACTGCATAGCCAAGCTGGTCTAATTTACTTGCACTGCAGGCTAAGGCTACGCACCCAAATCAGTGGATTACAACTTAGTAAAATGAAACCAGTCATGCAAACCCTACAAATAAAAATTTAATTGAAACAATAAAATGTTTATACAGAGAATAATCAGATCAAGGCATTCACATGGCATCATAAACCATAAATGAATGTAGTTTATACTGAAATCTTTCAGGTATCCCTCACACAATGTATAACATGGACTCTCTCACTCCCCATACTGTGTTAACATGCAATCTCCTCATACTCCCTCACTCTTCAGACTGAGTATATTGTGTCCTGTAGTTTAGTGGTTAGAGCACTCACCTCACAAGCAAAGGGATCTGGGCTCAATTCCCGGCTATGGAAAAACATTGGGCAAGATTCCTTACTCCACATGCCTCGGTTTACCTAGCAGTAAGTAGGAATCCAGTTGTTAAGTCGATTGGCGGATCATTTTTACGGAGGTAATAATCCTTTCAAATTTTTTTAAAAAATGTAAAATAATAAATTGTGGGGCATTGCTGTGTGCAATTGGCTGCCATGTTCCGCACACAAAATACAGTCAATTCACTTTACAGTATGTTCTGTGAAGCACTTTGAGACATTTCAAAGACGTGATAAGGCACTCTATCAAATGCAAGGATTATTATTGTAACGTGCACTCTCCCTCACAACCTATCATGTATAACATGTGTTAACTTATTATAGCATTAACATACACATTATAAAGCAGCTGCTGGACAGCACCTTTAGGTTGGTAGGTTGCTGCTGAGGTCACTGACTTGCACTGTGCACAGGAAGCCGCCAACCCCGCTCTCGCCAGTATTCCTAGGAAATGTACACTGTATGTGTTGGGGGCAGGGATAAGCGCACATTGTACAAATCATATCCTAATATAACAAAAACTACAGCAAAGAACGGGCATTCTCTCTCTCTTCCCCTACAATCACATGTATTGAATTCCTTCCGTGTTAAAATGTAACA